CCAAAACACGCGGGTTTGCAGAGGGAAAAGACCCCGAGGTGTCCGGCGCAGCCAGGGAGCCTTCCCGAGGAAAGAGCGTTTTCTCCTCTTTATTATTTTTTCCTTTCATTCTCGGGACTTGCCGAGTGGCACCACGGGGACGTGTGGCCGCACATGGCCCACATGGGCCCACGGTGCTTCATGTGGGTGCGTGTCCCGCTCCGTAACGTGCCGCCCTTCCCTAGGAGGGTTGAACGGAGCCGCTTTTGGGGCCGGGAGCGGCTCCGTGCAGCGGTAACGGGACGGCAGGACGAGGCGGTTGTTCCACGTCCCGTGTGCTGGGGCTGGGGAGGAAGCTTGGAAGACTCTTCCTCGCTGCCAGCAGCACCGGGAAAGCTCCGCAGTGTGCGATAAGTCACTCAATCCAAGACCTTCCTCTTGCACAGCTTGTCCTGGAACGCTGGAGGAGCCCGACGTGGGGTTTGGGAATGGGATGGGGACCCAGGATGGGGGCACAGAGGGAAAAAGGACCGGGATTCCCGGCCGGGCGACGCCGGCGCTCCGTGGTTTGGGATGCGCGGATGCCTCCCGACAAGAAGGGCCGTTCGGGGAGGACGGAAAGGGGGGAAGAGCCCGTTGATCTATCGCTCCATGAGAGCGGAGCGATCCATGGATAAAATCCATGCGTGTGATCCGTAGGTTGGAGCTAGCGGAGCCGGGAGGCTCCGGGGATGGCCTGGTCCCCTCCCGCCTTCCCGCTTCGCTCCTCGTTGGATGCGGGCGCCGGCTCCGGCGCTTCCCGGTGCCTCCGCGCAGGCGGCCGGGCTGTGTCGCCGGGATGGAGGTCGGTGTCTCCGAACCCTCCGGACGGCGGATTCCTGCAACGAGGCCGGGAGAGGCGCCCGCCCAGCCCAAATTCCATCTAAAAGCACGTGGAAGTACCCGCAGCGGGGATGGAAGTCACCTCTGCTTCCCGATGTCCCTTGTGACGCTGCCCAAAACGCTCCGGTTTCCAAACCAGGGGCAGAGCGACGCGCTCGCGCGTTCCGATGCCAACGGAAACGTTTTCCCCGCGCCGCGGTCGGACCGTTTCCTAATATAGGTCTGGTTGCCGTGTCCTGCGCGCGCAGGAAGCCGACGTGCGGCAGGAGGGCACCTGCTTTTTGCTTTCATTTTATTTTAAGCCCCAGACCTACTTACGGCCCCGCGCTGGGAGCTCGCTTTGGCCCGGGCGCAGCTCCGCATCCGAGCTGGGCCCTCTGCGTTTCCCACCACGCGGCCCCTTTAGCATCCCGTAAGAAGACAAATCTGCACCAAGCGCTTGTGAAAAACAGAAAAAGGGGGTTTAACTCCTGTTTTTGTGCCCAAGCTTCAGCTTTCGTGCTGCCCGTGATAGGATGGACCTGCCAGGACGGGACAGCCCCGTTGACTCCCAAGCTGTCGCCGTTCCCGATGGCCGCGGAGCAGCGTCTCCCGCGTCCACTCCCGGGCCGGTTCGGTGCCGAGGCCGAAGGTGGGAGCAGCGGGAGCGAAGCCGGGCCCGGTGCCGCGTGTTGGACCGCTGGGAACGGGGCCGGGATATTCGCAGTCCCGGTGAGCTCGGTCACATTGGAATAACAACCGGAGCGAAGCCATTGGCGGCGGCTCCGTGATCGCTGCCGCCGCCGGCCTGGAGCGCCCGCGCGCGGGGCCCTTCCTCGCGCTCTTCCTCGCCTCTATTGACTTAAGCGATGCCCTTAACGTGTTGGAAACGTCTCCTTTGATGGCAAAACCAGCCTTGTTTTATTTTAAGCTGGGATGAGGAAGGCCGGGGCTGTCCCTCGAGGGCCCTCACAAGCTCCATGTGCAGGAATTGGGCACAAACGGCCCTCAAAAGCTTTGGGGACCGCTGGGACAGCAGCCGCTGCCTTCCCAGGATATCCACGGCTCGTCCGGAGCCCAGACGCCAGTGATGGGCTCGTGGGCCGGGAAGCTCCTGCTGGGTAGCGCTGCTTGGCCTTTGGAATAAGTCCCTTCCCTGCATCTCACAAGGGCAAGGCTTAATTAATTATTTTTATAGCGTTTTGCAAGCATTAGCTAACGAAATGTCGCACCGTCCCTGTGGGGTAGGTGTTTTAGAAAGAGCTTCATAAGGAGAAACTGTCTGTGCCAGCGCGTGGTGGCGGGAGCCCCCATGCCAGGGTGCCCCCAAAACACGCGCGGGGTCCCCGAGTTGGGGACAGCGACGTTGTCCAGGCCCTTGTGATTCCTGGTGGGAATTTGGGGTGAACTGGAGCCTGGGGCATCCTTAGAAACAAGGTGATTTTAGGGCAGCCCTTCCCGGTTTGGCTTCTGTGGAGCTTCCCCTTGCAGCGGGCTGCGATGAGGTTAATGATTAATGAGATTAATAATCGTCACCCATGAGAGCACCCGCTGTGCTGCTCCCTGCGAGGCCTGGGGCAGGTACAAACTACGAGGAGACGGGAAGGAGACGGGAAGCACCGGGAAGCTGCGTGTGGAAGAGCCTGCGGACAACAAGGTGACCATGGGGCAGCAGGTGCCCTCGTGGCCAGGAAGGCCAATGGGATCCTGGGCTGCGTTAAGGAGAGCGTCTGCAGCAGGGCCAGGGAGGGGATCCTGCCCCTCTGCTCAGCCCTGCTGAGGCCACATCTGCAGGATTGTGTCCAGTTCTGGGCTCCACAGGACAA